TTTCCGGGTGGAGGGTCGAGGGGTTTCCGGGTTCAGGTTTCGGGGTTCAGGGGTTTCGTGTGTAGGTTTTGAGGTTCAGGAGTTTGAGAACGTAGCATGGGATCCCACTCGATGAAGATATGCACACACACACACACACACGCCTACCTACGTAAAGCATACATACATACAGACACATAATCATGACCAGAATCATACATACATACATACATACATAAACATACATCCGTTCATCCATACATACATACGCAATACAGTATATATACAGAGACGTATATGTGTCCATGTTTGATAACATATGTTTACAATGCGATCTACGACATAAGATGTGAGATAGAAGAAAGAAGAAGATCTAATGCATAATATGATGCCAAATATGTGCCATGTATTAACGAGATCTAGTATACAATATGTACGAACTCAGATATACCATCTTGTGCACGATGTATTAGGTAATTCAACATACATGGTAGATAACCTTTAGTATATCATATGTAGCACGTACCATGTACTATGCCCTATGTAATACGTGATAGAATGTAACCTAACAAAAGCCGCAGTGGAGAAGCGACTAGACTAGCATAGGTTACAATATAGTTTAGTATAGCATCATATAAATGTATACGCACACGTGCACACACACACACATTGCATATGTATATGACTTGTATATGTATACGTAGATGTAGATGTGGATGTAAATTTATATGTACATGTATATGTACATGTAGCTGTTTCGTACACGTATACCCATATGTACATGTCTATGTGTATACGTCTATGTCTATGTTACGTCCATGCCCATGTCTAGGTCACGTCCCGCGTCTGTATCTGTGTCCATGCCGGTGTCTACGTCCATGTCTTTGTGGTTTCGATGTCGAGTCCTACGTCTATGTCTATGTCGAAGTCTGTGTGTATGTATATGAGTACTTAAGTTTATATGCACATAGACATACACATGCATGCATGTATGGCACGTACATATGTAGGTAGGTGGGGAGGTAGGTAGGTATGTAGGTATGTAGGTATGTATGGATGTAAGTATGTAAGTATGTAGGTAAGTAGGTGGTACGTGTGTATGTGTGCATGCGTGCATGCGTGCGTATGCATGTATGTATGTATGTATGTATGTATGTATGTATTTAGGTATGTACGTATGTACACACACACACACACACACGCACACAGACACACGCACACATGTCCCGGAGGAAGCGGTCATCAACCGCATCGCGGCAGGCGAAGTGGTCGTCCGGCCGGCCAATGCTTTGAAGGAGCTGATGGAAAACTCACTGGACGCAGGCATCATGGGGGTTTAGTAGGGATTAGGGTTCCCATAATAGGGTTCATGTTAAGGAATCCCTACCCCAAGAATCTTAAAGCCCCCCTTTTGGTCTTTTATCAAGGCAGCACTCGAATCGCCATCGTGGCGAAGTCTGGTGGCCTGAAGATGCTGCGAATCGAAGACGATGGTCATGGGATCCGGGCGGATGACCTGCCGATCCTATGTGAGCGCTTCACAACCTCCAAGCTGCGGAAGTACGAGGACCTCAGTAGCATCGGCACTTTCGGCTTCCGGGGTGAGGCCTTGGCTTCGATCAGTCACTTGGTCATAATTGGGTAACATTTTGGATTTTTATGGGTACTTAAACCCAATAAGGAATATCATTGCTAATTTTAAAAAAGCAAATCCCAACCATGAACTAGGTCATGTGGCCCATGTGACCGTGACCACCATGACTAGCGGCGACGACTGCGCACGAGTGGCTCAGTACAGTGAGAGCCAGATGCAAGGGCCGGCTAGGCCATGTGCAGGAACTCGAGGAACGACCATTGTTGTTGAGGACATGTTCTACAACAACCCAACTCGGAGACAGGCCCTCAGCAAGGAGACCATCGAACATGCGAAGGTGCTTGAGGTTGTGCAGCGCTACGCGATCCACTACCCCAAAGTCGGGTTTAGCTGCCGGAAAAACACGAGTTCGGTCTCAGAGCTGACGACCGTAGGAGGTGAGGATGTCACGGCCCAAGGCGTGATCTCCACGATCTATGGCCAGAGCTTGGCGAAGGAGCTCTTCCCGTATTCTCTGGCCTCCCAGGAGCCCAAGTTCTCTTGCACCGGCTTTGCCTCGAGCCCTAACTACATGTCTCGGTCTCTGACCTTCATCCTCTTCATCAACAACAGGCTGGTGGAGTCCGGGCCGCTGAAGAGAGCCCTGGAGGCCGTCTACCAGAGCGTGCTGCCCCGACATCAGCACCCCTGGGTCTACTTGGCCCTTGAGGTGAACCCGGCGGCCATCGACGTGAACGTCCATCCGACGAAGCTGGGTACTCCTTTGGGACATTTCTCGTTTTTCCCGTATTGGGCTTAATAAGAGGATCTTACTTAGCCTACTAATTAGCACTTGGCCGGGGGATTTAAGGCCAACCTAGGAAGATGGAGGTGCAGTTCCTTCATGAAGAGACTATTGCGCAGAAGTTGCAGGAGACACTGCTGGCGCAGCTGCAGACCATGGGTGGGTCCAGAACCTTCGTGTCTGCCCTTCCATCGCCGGGAAAGGGAGCTCCCATCGCAGAGAAGGAGAAGCCGAAGGTTCCCCAGGCTCTGCAGCTTTTGCACCTTGCCCCACCTGCGGCGACCAGAGCAAGCGCTGGGCTGGACAAGCCGGAGCCACCTGCGGTGCTGAATCCCGTTCGGGTTCGGACGGACCACCGGCAGATGTCCTTGCAGTCAATGTTCCTGGAATCCCACTCGCAGGCGGCTCAGGCAACGCAGGCATCCCAAGCAGGACCGGCCTCGCAATTGCAATTGGTGGCCGATCCCCCCGCCTCAGCTCCAAGCAGTGCTTTGAGCCAAGCGCTGGTGCAAAGTGGGCAGATGTCCGAAGAGCGCCGGGCAGCTTTCGAGGAGGCTCAGCAGCTGACATCCATTGAAGAGCTGCGCATCTCCGCGGCCGTGGCTGGCGACACCGAGCTGTCCGCGTTGGTAAACAAATCCGTGTATGTTGGACCCGTGACTCGTGAGCTGGTGCTTCTCCAGTGTGGAAAGTCTCTCTGCATGGTGAACATAGCGATCCTTGCGCGGGAGTGTGCCTACCAGCGATTGCTCAGGCAGCGCCGGGCACCGGAAATTTTAGGTGATTTGGGGGTTGAGCGCTTTAGATTTGGTCTGGAGTTTACAGCTTCCTGTGTCTCTCGGTTGGTGGCACTGGCCACTCTAAGCTTGCATGTGGGTGGTTGTCAAAGTTATGGCCCCTTTCTTGGGTACCCTAAATTTTTAGGGTACCCAAAAAGGGACCATAACTTTGACAACCACCCACATAACAGTGTACCGGCAGCCAAGAGTGCCACATCTATGGCGCGCATTGCCGCGTGCTTTCTCACATGAGTTGCCTAGATGCAGCTTTCATGTCACCCGGAGGCTAATTGGCGGCGTGGGTTGCATCACTCTGGCAGAGCCCCTGCCTTTAGATGAGCTCCTGAAGTTGCTGGGTTCTTGTTGAGGAATCTAATTTAAGTTACCATAGTCGGGATCTTTAGTAAATAACATGATGCCTTCTTATGGAAACTCACATAAAACCCCTCAACAAGAACCCAGGTTGGGTATTCAGGACCCAGACTCGGGCTACGATCCCGAACTCCATGCATCCGTGGACGTAGAGGCCATGGCATCTCGCTTCGTCACCCTGCTGCTTGAGAAGGCCGAGCTCTTGAACGCGTACTTCATGCTGCTTGGGGGTAATTAGAAATGGTTTTGGGTTTTCTTTGGTTCCTATAATGTCTAAGAAACAGCGAAAGTTATGATTGTTTCATAGTTTTTGATTTTTGGTTCCTATAATCCCTAAGAGACAGCTAAAGTTATGATTTTTGCAAATAGTTTTTGATCTGTGGTTCCTATAATCTCTACGGAACAGCTAAAGTTATGATTTTTGCTAGCGGGTCTAAGTTCAGTAGATCAACGGGGAAAAGGAGGGACCCTTAACTTAATGGCGACCCCTACCCTATAATGGGCTATAAAATGGGTATATAATGGCACTATTAAGGGTATATACCTAGGGGTCCTTATTAAGTGTCCCTCCTTTTACCCTTTGAGTAGAGGCTGGAGATCGACGTTTCGAGCAAGTGCCTCAAGGCGCTGCCAAATGGGCTGGGTCTGAAATCCGACATGGGATGTAACTTTGAGACTTTGTCATAGTTGGGCAACATTTTAAATTTTTATGGGTACTTAAACCCGATAAGGAATGAAAATTTAGATTTTAATCCTATCCCAACCATCAACTAGGAGACGCTGCCGCTTTTTCTCGTCCGGCTTTGTGCCGAAGTGAACTGGGAGGAAGAGAAGCCCTGTCTTGAAGGTATCTGTCAGGTGATCGCCGATTTCAGTGCGGAGCTCTTGCTGCCCAGCGACGCCGAAGCTGACATCTACCAGCGGGGCCGGGCGGCTGTGGAGGAGCTGAATGCCGCCGTCCAGTCCGGTGAGTTTGAAGACATCGTCGCGGCTTCCGCGGCGAAGAGGCAGCGCACCACGGAGGATCTGCAGGGCCTCCGATGGCTGCATGAAGCCCTCCGGAGGGATGGGGAGTGCCAGTGGCCCCGAGAGCTGGCGAAGGATGGCACCTTCCTGGAGTTGGCCTCTTTGGATCAGCTCTACAAGATCTTCGAAAGATGCTAAGGCCATAAAACCCCTAAATCCCTAAACCCTAAACCCGAAAGATCTTCGAAAGATGCTGAACTTTTCTCTTCGCCGCCCTTGGCTCTGACTATCCTTCGGAGCCGGATGCAGGTCGTGTAGGTGGGCCTGATTGTGATGGGGGGTCAGCGCAATCCGTGTTGAAAGACAGTCGCCAAGCTTGTCCCGCCGAAGCGGGGTCCGTTCTGCGGGAGGCGAAAAATAAATTCTTGGAGTTTTTCAACGGTTTGCATCGGATCTGAGTTCTTGACGATTGAGGGTTGTGCTTTCAGTGCCTCTGTCGTGGACTGCTCGCTAAGTTCTCATTCCCATGTTCCCGCACTACGCCTCTGGCACAACGGGGAGTTGCCTGGCGGGTGCCTACCGCACGGCTGCGGAGCTGTGCCCCGGCTTTGGGTAGGTGAGCTGTTGCTTCTCTGATAGTGTAGAATATATACTACCGAGGCGTTAATAATGAGATTAGGGTTATGCGGTATAACTGACCATAGTCATGATGCAGATTCCAAGCTGTTTGATACCTAGAGCCAGCCCCAGACTCCCCCCGCAGCACTGCAGATGGATTCTATTCAGAGTGATCCGCGGAGGTACTGCACGCCATTCCTCTCCGTTCTTCCACCTTTTTATGGCCGAAGTCTCAGTGCTCCGTGAAATCGCCTCCAGGATCCGCGCTTTCGCGTCCGACGGGTTGGTAAAGCGATTGAAGGGCAGCAAACATCACAGTCATGTTCTCTCACTTCAGTTTGTAATACATAGTATCCTTGTATAGTTAGCGCTCATTTCCCTTCATCGTCCCCGCAGAGTTATTCTACTATCTCCCCCAGAGCCTGTTCTGCTTACTAAGACCCCCACGCTATCTGAGCTACCAGCTACAAGGCATCTCTCGGATGGGTGTCATTGACTGTCCATCGTTGTCACATCCTAAGCCCTAAACTCTCTTTAAACCCTAAACTAGAAAGCCTAAACCGCTAAATCATAAGCCCTCCCTGAACCTTTGAACCCCATGCCTCGAAGCTTGAGCCCTCAAGCACTCACAGCCCGAAACTTCTGGATCATCTTACCTCCATAGCACCGGGATCATCATTCTTCTCTTGCAGTCTCTAGAATCCTCGAGGCTTACAATACACCTTATTCTAAGCACTAAGCCCGACTTCCTTTAACCTCCAGGACCCCTTAACCTTAAAGCCCCCCCACACCGAAATCACCGAAATCCGAAGGGCTAAAAGCCGCATTAAAGAACTGCGGGAGCCCTGCCAAGAGCACTTGTTGAACGCTTAGAATGCAGAAGCCAAAGGAAAAGGAGCGACAAAAAAAAAAAGAAGCCAAAGATTCGGAGATGAATACCATTCATTAGGGCTCCTTAATACAACTGGCTATACGATAGGATACTTCCCAACCCTGTTCTGATGGTTAAATCTACTATATGGTTATGATAACCGCGGACATAGCCCCCTCTAGACCTGTGCAGAGGGAAGTTACTAAGGCAGCTATATCCCTAAACCCTAAACCTTATAGATCCCTTATAGGAACCCTTACAGGAACCCTTACAGATCCCTTTAAAGGCACCCCCAATGGGACCCTACTCATATGGAGCTGTTTCGAAGAAGCTCCGAGCACCAGCCAGAGACTCCAACATCCATTAATTAAGGAGTATACCTTAAAGGGCTCCTTAAAGGGATCTAAAAGGGTTCTATAAGGGAAGTAAGGAATACCTTAATTTTTAGCAGGACCCCGAATATGATTTAAGGAATATTCCTTAATTAAGGGATATTGGAGTCTCTGGGTATCGGAGCCCTAGGTCACCGCCTGTACGTGGCGGCCATGAAGAAGCGCATTTCGGAGACGATTGGCGAGAGGGTGCCCTGGATTTACCTTTGGTTAGTAGGGAATGGAAGAATGGTAGTAATAGTAGTTATATGGTAGTAATATGATAGTAATATGGTAGTAATCTGGTAGTAATATGGTAGTACTAGTAGTTGTAATTGTACCCCATTCCTCCATTCCCTACTAACCAAAGGTAAGTGGGAAGAGCATGGGGCCTTCGCAATGTCAAGCAGCATTGTCCAGGAATGCAGGTCATCTTCCAGGGTGTTGTGCGGTTATACATGTGGGCGGTGGTCAAAATTAGGGTCCCTTTTTGGGTACCCTAAATATTAGGTGCCGTATTATAATAGGGACCCGAAAAGGGACCCTCATTTTGACAACCACCCATGTTTCGAGGGTTTGATAGGAATTCCAAGAACCTGTATTGTGAAGTTGTCGCATGCATCGCGATAGCAGCAAAGGACTTGTCTCTTGATTATCCCCTAGACCCTAAACCCCGCACCCCTGGCACATGCAGTCGGAAAAGGGCCCGCAAAAAAAACACACACACCAAACCCAATACCCCAGGCCTTCACATTCAACCCGGGACTCGCAAACCTAAGCCCTAAATCGACCACCTTGGAACCAGGGCAAGAATGTGGACCACATTCTGTTCAGCTTTCACGGAGTGCCGGAGGCCAGAGTAGAAGCCGGAACAGTGCTTGCTCGCATAAGTAACTAGGCTAGTAATGGTAATAACTAATAAAAGCTTCAGGAGGACTAGTGGTACCAAAGCAATTCCGGCAGGGATCTTGGTCGTGATGACTACTCGTTGACGAAGCTTAGGTTAGTCGTAGAGTGTGTCAAGAAAGCAATAATGATTTGCAAGTCATAGGAGGAATCGAGAAGAACGATACAAGCTGTGCATGTTTGCATGTGTGTGTGTACGTGTGTATGTAGGTAGGTATGTATGTCATACTCACTTTTGGGCCTGTAGCTAGTCACCAACTGTGGTGCCATAATGTACTATGATCACAGCTGTCAGCTAGCTGGCAGCCGCATGGTCATCGCGTTTTCCTTGTCGTCGGTCATTACGAAGGCCTTCTGCTCATGACAAGTATCCTCTTTTGCAGTGCTGTGCGTACCTCTTGTCATCTTCAGTCTGAATATGGGGGTTTCCGAAAATAGGGGACGCCAAGATAGTACCTAAATAGTAGGATCCTTATTATCAAAACCCCAAAATAGGGTACCCCTCCTATTTTCGGAACCTCCCATATCAAATCCAAGGCGGTTCTGAACCACCAAAGGTTCCCAAAGTGTGACAAGACTGGGTCGTCCCTTACAGGTCCCCTGCAAGGGCACCTTGCTTAAGGGTCTCCTATTCTGGGACTCAGGCTTCAGGTTCAGGGTTGAGGGTTGAGGTTTCTGGTTTGGGTTTAGGGTTTAGGGTTTAGGGTTGAGGGTTTAGGGTTAGGGTTTCTGGTTTGGGTTTCTGGTTTGGGTTTAGGGTTTAGGGTTGAGGGTTTAGGGTTGAGGGTTTAGGGTTTAGGGTTGAGGGTTTAGGGTTTTGGTTTCTGGTTTGGGTTTCTGGTTTAGGTATGGCCCGGTGTTCTCCCCACAGACATTGCAAAGACCAGGATTGTGCTTTGGGATAATCTTTGAGTTCCCTTGTATCCTTATAAGGGGAACTTATTCATAAAACATTTTCAAAGGGTTTAAAGCACAACCCAGAGACCTGAACCCTGCAGGAACCATGACTTTAAGTTTGCACCTTAAACGGTTTAGGGTTTAGGGTTTAGGAAACGTTTGTAACCCGAGGTTTGGGGTACCAAATACCCCTATTAAGGGCCATATTCCATGGTTTAGGGACCCAAACCCAAGGGTACAAAGGAAAACTCCTTGACAGGAACAATGCTCCCGGACCGACACGACCAAAAGCTTCTGCAACAAGAGTCCTTCTGCCGTGCTTGAATCTGCCGTAGGCAGTCTTCTATAAACCCAAAACCCAAGACCCTAAACCCGAAACCCTAAATCCTAAACCCTAAGCCCAAAACTCTAAACCCTAAACCCAACACTAAACCCTAAACTCTAAACCCAACACTAAACCCTGACCCTAAACCCTAAACCTAACAGCCTAAACCATCAGCCCCTAAGCCCACCCCCACGTCTGCGAATCCGAAGCCTCTCAAGACCTGATCCGAAGTAGAGGTTAGCCCTTATAGCAAACCCCAGAAAGTTGGAGCGTAGATTTAGGATGATTCATACTTTACACAAAGGGAGTAAGGCTAATGATGTTCCAACTTTTCGGCTTCTACTGTAACTCCCTGGTGCTTAGTAGGGAATGGGGGAATGGATCCTTACAGTGGTCCCTATACAATCCCCAGTAATAGTCACCACAAACCATTCCCCTATTCCCTGCAAAGCACCAGAACCGTACTAGATGTTGAAACTCCCTAAACACCTAAACCCTGAGACTCCGCTCTATACCTCAGAGTTACGTAAGCTTTCGAGGCCTATGGGCTGAAGCAGTTTTATCAGATGCACGAGTAGGAGTAGGAGGAGGAAGAAGGGGCGTAGGAGTAAGCAGAGGGGCGGAGTTGGAATTGGAGTGGGAGCCGAGGGGGCCGGGTGGGCGTGGCAGTGGGAGTATGCGGGCTGCACACAGACTCGTAGCACTTAGAGGTTGCAGGCATCAGCAAGAGGACAAAACACAAAGACGATGAAGAAGAACGATGGTACGTAAGACGAAGGAAGGACCACGAGACTCGCAGACACCTCGACGACTTTCTACAGGTTGTGGGTTCAAGGCACATAGAAGCCTGATAGTAACCCCTTCTGGTATCGGGGCCGGAATATTTAGTACTCATGTCCTCTTATACTTCTATGACCCCATTCTAGAAAGGAACGCCCCAGCTATCTAGTAATAACATCCCCTTCCAGTCGCTAAACAATTCTACGATATACACTTCTACGGTTGATGATATAAATCCTGCATGACCTTAAGGACCCTAAACTATGGGAATTATGGTATATTCCTTATCATGGGTAATGTAGGATTTATACCATCAACCGTACCACAAAGCGTGGATCCTTCTTTTGAGCTCGAAACCTTGGAACTCGAGGGCAGAGCTGTTCAGTTCGGACTTTGAGGTTGGCGGGATTTAGGGATGAAGGGCGCTAAGGTTTCAGGCTACTATAAGGGTACTATAAGGGTTACTGTAAGGGTAGAATTAGCTTACTATAAGGATACTACGGTTGATGATATAAATCCTGCATTACCCATAAAAAGGAATATACCACTATTCCCATAATTTAGGGTTCTTAAGGTAATGCAGGATTTCTACCATCGGTTTTAGGGGGGTTTTAGGGCTTTAGGTTAGAGCTTGATCTTTGGGGATTTACGGTGTTTGGGACTCAGGTTTCGAGGTCTACTTAATATCAGGCTTCAGGAATTTTAGGGTTCGCGGATTTTTGCTGTTGGGGTTTCAGGGTTTAGGGGTTCAGGATGTAGGGCTGGGGTGTCATGGTTTAGGGGTTCAGTGGTCAAGGGTTTAGGGTTCAGGCGGGAGGGTGTTGGAGTTTAGGGTTTAGTGGCTAAGGGTTTAGAGATGACGCGTATTGGGTTTCATGGCATTGACAGGGGTCCGATTGTTCAGGGTTCTGCATTCTATACCAAGCCCTTTTCTTTTGAAGAGACAGACTTTCGGATAGGGGCGAGAGTTTTTGTGGTTTGCGTGTACGGTTTAGGGTTTAGGGCAGGGCTTGCGCGTACTTCTTTATGCATTGCAGGTGCAAGTTGCTGCTCCATGCTGCAGAAGGAGAACAGGCAGCCGCAGTTGTGTATACCATTCCTTCAGGTTCCGATCATAGTCATGGTATGATATACCCCCAAACCCTACTCCTACTCCTTAAAGACCCTAAACCCTAAACCCTAAACCCCTAAACCCTAAAAATTATGGCATAGTATACCCCCCCCACAACCCTAGTCCTTAAGGTTTCGATCGTCGTGATGGAAAAATCTTCCCTTGAATCAAAGGGGAAAAGGAGGGACGCTTAATGGGGACCCCTACCCTATAATGGGCTATATAATGGGTATATAATGGCTATATTTAGTATGGGTATATACCTAGGGGTCCTTATCAAGGGTCCCTCCTTTTCCCTTGGATTAAAATAAACCCTTTTCGGATAATTAAGGATGCTACATTTCCTTTCCCCGGATCGACGAACAAACCAGGACTTCCCTTGTTGGAGCGATGACTGTCCAGCACGCATACTATAGGGGCCTTAAGAACTAATTGTCGGGGCCCATTATAGTATAAATATGTAATAAGGAAGCCTGCCAAGATTATTTAGGCCCCTACAGTACTGTCTCTTTGCTTCTTATGTGAGGGTTTAGGATTTAGGTTCGTTTCTCCCACGACTTGGTCAAGCCTAGGTATCTAAAATCATGGATGGGGCCGTCTTTTTGCAAGTGCAAGCAGATTCGCAGTGTGAGAGTTTGTGCATTTGGCTGACTGTGAGTAGTCTCTGTATTGCTACAGTTTTTGGTGGTCCAGGTGCCTTCTGCAGCCAAGAATATTCGTTTCACCAGTGCTGTTCTTGCTCTCCTAGCCCCCTTTAACCCAAAATCCTGAACCCTAAACCCAGAACCCGGAACCGTACTCTACATCTACGGCAAGCCCCTCTATTCCTGTCGGCGTGCGTCTCGTCGGGAAGTGCCGCTTCAAGCCCTAAGCCCCCTGAGGCTTCCGAAAGCTCGAACCCCTTCGCGTTCATGAGCCCAATCACCGCTTCAGGGTCTAGGGCCAGGGTTCAGGGTTTGAGGTTGACAGTTTAGGGTGGACCACCCCAAACCCGACTGTCCCCAACCCTAAACCCACTTATCCGAATAGCCCTAATGTCCTATGGAAAAAGCGCCCTGGGCCGTAAAGCTCCACACCTGAAAGATCCTGAACCTAGTAGTCGAGTAGGTAACCGTTAACCCTCTCCTGGGTGGTAGAGTCCCTATATAACCCCTGTAGAACCAAAAAGCTTAACCTTTAGTTCCCCATGATACCCGACAAGTAGGTGAAGGCCTGGTGCATTCGTGAAAGGAACTGCTACCGTGCTCAGTGCTTTGAGACAGCCCGGCTGCCAAACCGCCATGCTTGGAGTTCAGGGGGAGGGGCCTGGTTTGGGCCTTAAGGCCTTCTTTTCTGAGTTCTTGTTAGGGAATTTAGTGTATGTTGCCATCGTAAAAAGCCCTCTGATGTAATTTAGATTTGCATCATTGCATTCTTGCAACTTACAAACAAGAGCGTAGTATTGTCCAGGTCAGACTGTCGAGGTTCGTGTAGGTAGAGGGTTGCCTGGAGTGGAGCCTTGCTTGGTTTTGGGCTGTATGGCTCTTCAAAGTTCTGCAGTATTGGGATGTGAGCCTTCACGAACAGAGTCTGGCTGACCTTGATTCTCACACAGACTGAATTCCCAAATACACGGCATTGTTTTCGCGCTTTGTGGCTTCGGGGTTTAATCTAGGGGCTTGACTTACTCCTGGTGTGAGCTGTTGAACAGGAGGGTCACACGTTGATTTCCCACGGTTAGCTCGATCAGGTGCAAGAGACACTCGGCAATGACTCGGTATGGTATATTCCTCACGGTTGAGAGCTTAGATTTTATGGTTTAAGTGGTATGTACTGCTACTACTACTACTAATACTACTAGTACTACTACTAGTACTACTACTAGTACTACTACTAGTACTACTACTACTACTACTACTACTACTACTACTACTACTACTACTACTACTACTACTACTACTACTACTACTACTACTACTACTACTACTTCTACCACTAACTACAATAATATTCATAATAACAAAAATCCTGCTACTTCGATGGCTACTGCCATACCAGGCTGGCCTACGAGCTGGGGCTGGAGGATGGTCGTTGGCCGCTGCCTCGGGAAAAAGAGCAGCTCTTAGGTACTGCCCCCCATGCATAGGGTTTAGGGTTTAGGGTTTGGGTTTAGGGGCCCCATGCAGTAAGAGTCTATAAAAGGGCTACTAATAAGGTCCCAATATATCTATACTATGAATATTACCCAACTATTACTGAGTGGGAGCCGTACCCAAAACCGCTCTTTCTTGAGGGGCTTACAGGGGTTCTATCGGGAACAAAGGCTTTTTGTAACGGGGTCTATAGGTTTTCGTAGGTTATAGGGGTTTATGGAGGTTTATGGGGCTTTATGGGGGCCTTTGTGTGTTTTGCGGTCTTTAATCGGTTCATATTCGGTTGAATAGGGGTTCTATTCGGTTTTTCGGGTCTCGCGCTTCGTGTCTGAGGGCTTAAAGTTTCAGGCGTTCTGGGTTTAGGGTTTCAGACTCTGAGCGTTTAGGGCTAAGAGTTTGAGAGTTTAGGGTTTAGGGTTTCAGATTCTGCGCGTTTAGGGTTTAGGGTTTGAGAATTTTGCGCTTTGTTTTTCCTCTTGTTTGCTCTGCCCTTCCTACCGCTTCTATTTGTTTTGTTCTCAGCTTAGGCTTCGTATGGCTGGCATTGCTCTCATTTCTGCTCTGGGAAAGCCCCCTAAACTCCAAACGAGAAACGCTAAGCCCCAAAACCCTAAACTCCCCTAAGCCCCCAAAACCCTAAACCCCTAAACCCCCTAAGCCCTAAACCCCAAAACCCCCAAACCCCAAACCCTAAACCCCAAACCCTGCTAAACCCCCAAAACCCCGAAGCCCCCCAAACCGCCTAAACCCTAAACCCTGCAAAACTCCTAGAAACCCCAAAGGTCTATTGGCTTTCAAAGTCGTCTGACACTGCGTGGCACCATTGAGCTTGAAGCTGAGACTCTGCTTGTGGCATAGGGCCTTGGGGTCAAAAGGGTCAAGGGCCGATAGGGTGTAGGATGTAGGGCCTATAGGGTTTAGGGTTTAGGGTCTGTAGGGTTAAGGGCCGATAGAGTGTAGCCTATAGGGATTGGGGTTTAGAGCTTATAGAGTTAGGGCCGATAGGGTGGAGGGCCTATGGGGTTTAGGGTTTAGGGCCTATAGGGCTTATGGTTTCGGGTTTCTAGGCTTGAACTATACGAACCCTTGGCTTCTTAGAGTGGCAAGGTGAACACGCCATTCCACGGCTTGGCTTTTAGCAGTTCAGGCCTTTTGGGCTTGAGGGGTTTTGGAGCTAGAGGCTTGGGGTTGAAGGGTTTCGGGGCCTAGGGGATTAGGGTTTGGGAGTTTGGGGTTAGGGTTTTAGGGCTTTTAGGGTTTATTGCAACCCTATGAGTGAATCAACGATGGTGTTCTGAGTTCTGAGCCTGGAGGTGAGCATTTTACGGGTTTCCGCGGTTCGGAGGTTGGGTATAGGGGTTTAGGGTTTAGGAGTTAGGGTTTAGGGGGTTTGCAGGCTCACTTTAGGGGTTTTTGGAGTTCAGGTTCGGGCCATTGCAGGAGCTGTTTCTGCATCTGCAAGAGCCCCTACGTACTTGTCAGCGGATAATATGGTTCCTCAGAGTTCCGTTATAGGCAAAATCTCAATCCTCCAGCACCCCCTGTGCCCCACAGCTCTAGTCTCACTATTTAGGCCCCTCTATTACAATACCGGAAACTCAACCCTAGAACCTAAACCCAAAGGCTAAACCCTAAACCCAAATCCTAAAGCCAAACTCTAAATCCAAAGCCTTAAATACGAAACCCCTAAAGACCCTACTTGGAGAGTCGGGGGACTTAGTAATTGGTTATTTTAGGGACTTATGAGTACCCTAACCCCAATTAGGGTCCCTTTTAGGGTACTTATAAGCCTACTTACTACCCACTTACTAAGTCCCCCGACCCTCCAAGTAGACCTCCAGCCCAGGTGGATCAAACCATACACAGACGAGGCAGCCGACGCCTTTCGACCCGGGGACTGCTCCGCATCTTTCTGGGTTTTAGGGCCTGATGAGGGTTTAGGGTATTAGGGTTTGGGGTATTAGGGCATTAGGGTTTAGGGTATTAGGGTATTAGGGTTTAGGGTTTGGGGTATTAGGGTTTAGGGTTTAGGGTTCAGGGGCAATTAGTGCTACTATCCCGTTATAGTCCTGATATAACGATGTTGTACTATATCGCCACCGCACTCTATCAACACCATGTTTACAGGGGCTGAGGTTTTGGGTTAAGGGTTCAGACCGCATCCTTGCCAGGGGTTCGTGGAGCTTGCGAAGAAGGGAGTGCGCGGCGCCTATGGAAAGCCAAGTTTCTGGTTCCGGGGTTTCAGGTTTAGGACTTAGGATTTAGCATTTTAGGGATGGTGCTGCCTTGGCCGAACAGAACTTTCGCGAGGCAGTTCGACTTGTTACGGAGCTTTACGAAGCACTTCTAGCTTCACGCAAGTACTCCTGCCCCTGCGAGTACCCCCTGCACGTGTCACCCTGATTGCTTCTTTTTGTGCTTGTTGCCGTTGAGGTTATTGTCAACCTCATGTTGGTTTTCCCTTTGTGTTGTCCTGTGAGTTCATTGCAGTTCGTCTGCTGTGGCTGAGGAAGAAACTGGCGGTTGTCGCCCCGTCCTTCACGGCAGATTGCGTCGAAACTTTGGAGGACACTGAATGAACATTGCCAGCGGCGCTTTCAGAGCCGCGGACATAGATAAGGTCCCCTGAACCCTTAACTTGCAAACTATGCTACGGTTAGAGGAAAATACTGTCATCCCTCAATGCCCAAGCTTGTCCTTCTACCAAATTCGCCCCTGAACGCTAAACCCAAAATTCGCCTGCTTACACCTTGACAGCTTCCTTTCCAGGTTTCAATACCAAAGAAGTCCATGAAAGCCCAAGATACCTTGCAAAACCTAAATCAAATCCTGCACCCTCAGCGCCAAACCCGGAGCCCCTTCGTGGACCATCGGTTCTACGTTGAAGATTCGCCACTGAGGAGGATGTATACTGCAGGGGTTCTGCACGGGTTCTGTAGCTGCAAGGGTTTGGCGTTTTGGGTCTAGGGTTACCCGGAGCAGGATTCTCCTTCAGACTCTGCTTGGAGAGTTTTTGGGGCTTAGGGTTTACCTGTAGCCGAAAAGACCTACCTTTTTGGGTCTCCATATCTTGGTTTCTATATATAGTTTCCCAAAAAGGTAGGTCTTCTGGGCCACAGGTGGGGTTTAGGTTTCATGGCGAGGAACCCATCAGGGTTCTGATCGGCTTCCACGGGCTTCTGTAAGTGTTCGGTAGGAGGTTCTTATGGGTTTGCTGGGTGAAGGGGTATAGGTCCTACACCCCTGAACCCAGCCAACCTACTGTGAGAAAGCTTAAGGTTAGGCACAGGGTTTATGGCTTGATGGAACCAACTGTTCTTGGTAAGTTGGTAGTAAGTAGACTTATAAGTACCCTAAGAGGGACCCTAATTGGGGTTAGGGTACTCATAAGTCCCTAAAATAACCAGTTACTAAGTCCCCCGACCCTCCAAGTAAGGATTCGAAGACCGATCCACCCTGTAAACTGCTCGACCAGAACCCCTTAAACCCCAGACCCTCAGTTCTTCACCCTCAAGCCAAAAAAGCACACCGTAAACATCCACATCCCTGAACCGTATACTCCCCCAAGCTTGAAAGCTGCCACCCAAAATATCGGAATTTTGCTTCCTGATTGAACAAGCATTAAACTAGCTGCTGGGACCTGGCCCAGAAGCCTACAGAATGAATCTTATTCCCTAGGAAGAGCAGCTTTGCCGAGTTGTCGGTCAAAAGACATAGAGCGCTTACAGGAACCCTGAAAGGAGTGCCAGAAAGCCGCCTAAGAAGAATTCCTAAAAGGAGTCTCAGCCCTCAACCCAAACAGCAAAATCCCCCTACACCCTAACCTCCAACCCCTTGACTTTAAAACCGAAGCCCCTACACCCTAACCCCTTAACTTTAAACAGCCCTAAACCCTAAACCCGACAAACCCTAGACCTAGACCCTAAACCCTAAACCCAAGCCGAATGCAGATCAGGCTAAGGTGCAAAGACGTGACAGGGGCGTTTGAGGAGGGTTCGGAAACACTGATCTTGAAGTTCGTTTTACCTAGTCTGTGTTTGCAATAGCAGGCTGATGTTGGCCATCACGCTTAAAAGAAGCCTAAACCCGAAACCCCTAAGCCCTAAACCCCTAAACCCCCAACCCTAAACCCAAAACCCCTAAGCCCTAAACCCCTAAACCCCCAACCCCTAAACCTCAAACCCTGGGTCTTCTCCCGCCTTCTCCAGGAGCTTGGGATCACCGGTCGCGAGGATTTCGAGGCGGCCGGCGGCGAGGAGCTTGCCACGATCTCAGTTCTGCTCTTTTCAGGATTTAGGGTTTAGGGGTTTAGGGGTTTGGGGTTTAGGGTTCTGTTCCTTCGTCTTCTTATCCACTTCTTCTTCTGGTTATCACTACTGTTGTGACTCTATTTACTGTTGCTGTTACTACTGTTGTCATTACTGTTATTACTGTTGCCGCTACAACATCTAGCTATTGCGGTGAATACTGTGTTGCTTTTTAGCATGTTTCGTATGATTATTATGCATACTTGTTTTTTTTTCTAATGTTGTTACTATCAGTATTTTTATTACGGTGAATATGAATATCTGTATGATGATTATGATAACTCTTCTTCTTCTTCTTCTTCTTATGATGGATATCCTTCTTGTTATGAGGATGGCTACAATGCCTGCTATCGTTTGTTCAGTATCAACACGATGACGCTGGTCATGTTTTGTTGTTCTTCTGACCAGTGTTGCTATGAGTATAGGATTCTAGGGCTAGGGGTTTCGGGGTTAAGGCATTCCGGTTTTTCCAGTTTACCACCGCGTTAAACCATGTTGGGCCACTGTGTAACCACATTTCCTGATTAAGATACTTTGTCGCCCCCTTCTAAGCCCTTCTGGAGACCTATAAACCACCAACACGTTACCCTAATTCCATCGAAAGACCTCGGCCATTTCGACTTTTCAGAAACCCCTAGGCTCAGCTTCGAAAAAAGCAGCACTAAGTTCCTCAGTAATGCCCTTTTGCCCTTTTTGTTTCAGGGTCTCCTTATTAAAGCCGAATATCACAGAAAGGATACCCTTAGTACAGAGGGGCTAACCCTAACCCCTAAACCTCTAAACCCTTAAACCCTAAACCCCGAAACCCTAAACCCTAAACCCGTAAACCCTAAACCCCTAAACCCTAAACCCCTAAACCCTAAACCCCAAACCCTAAACCCTTGAGAAAGAGCCATTACATTAAAAAAAAAACCAAAACCCTAAAACTCAAAAGTGTAAGCTCAGGTGGTCATCCCTTGCCTCAACAGCTCCGAGCACTGGGCCACTGGGGCCGAGCCTGGAGGGCTTAGGGCTTTAGGGTTTAGGGTTTAGGGTTTGGGTTTGGGGTTTACGGGTTTAGGGGTTTAGGAGTTTAAGGGTTTAGGGGCTTAAGGGTTTAGGGGTTTAGAGGCTTGAGTTTAGGGTTTGGGGTTTAGGGGTTTAGGGTTTTAGGGGTTTTATAAGGGATCCTATAAGGGATCTATAAGGTATCCTATAAGGGATCCTATAAGGGATCTTATAAGGGATCCTATAAGGGATTTATAAGGGATAAGGGATCTATAAGGGATCTATAAGGGATCTGTAAGGGTACCATAATGGGGTTTAGGGGTTTAGGGGTTAGGGTTTTAGTAGTTTAGGGGTTTTAGGGGTTTAGGACCTAGGGGTTCAGGGTTTAGGGGTTCAGGGTGAAGGATTTGGGGCTTTTGGCTTTGGTTTTGTTTTTGATTTAGGGTTTTTGTTTTGATGATCGTAGAATGTAGAAGCTAGGTAGGCCACTGAATCACTGGGTTGTTTTTCATTTTCCTTGTTGGGTTATACCAGGCTGTTCAGTGGTACACTTTTTTACTTTCAGGTTTCTGGGTTTCTATTATAGAAGAAGAAGCTTAAAAAATATATACTTTTTCCCAATGGGTTACTGAACAGCCTAGTATATAAGAGGATCCTATTTAAGATGGTTTTTTCAGAGGCTCCATAAGGCTCACCTAGGAAGATGTTTAAAGGATAGTCTTGTTACTTGTCTTGTCAGGTATTTATGTTAAAGAGCGTAGGAGGCGGATTCTGCTTGTTTGGAAGGGTGTTAAAGGGTTTGGGGTTTAGTTTTGGCTCAAGTGATGGGGGATGATGAGGGTTTGGTAATGTTTTGGGATCAGGCTTTTGGGGGATGTCGGGTTTGGGTTTGGATAGATGCTGAGGTTTTTTCCAGTTTGGTGTTTTGGGTCTTGGGCTACGGGAGACCCTTGAGCTACATGATGACGTTGAGGAGACCCCGGACCACAACGTCTACCTGCATATGTCCTCAGAGTCAGTCGTCGCCGCTATGCGGCGGGTGCGCATCCAATGCTCCCCGCCACGCCTCATCCGGCACGGCTACAATGAGTCGATCTTCCGCGTTTCCTTCCAACACATCAGTCTGTTTGTCTGCCTGACCCTGGCGGCCGTATGCTGGGATTGGTGCACGATATTACGTGACTACTTTGACTCAGACGTTCACATTCAACTGCATTTAGCACGACTGCCACCTTTGGCGTTGCTTCATGCTTGGTGTTCAGGGTTTCGAGTTCAGGAAGATGAAAGTTATCTCATGCAGCTTCGCGTTGTAGACCAAGGGTTTTTTGGGGTTTGGGGTCTTAGCTTACGGTTCCCTAAACCCCAAACCCCCAAACCCCTAAACCCCAACTGATTTCAGGACTGTGGGATGTTGGCAGTAACAATGCTTTCATTCATTATTATACCCCGCAGTCAGGCTCCCAAGCTGTAGGGTTAGTTTCGTGTTTTAGGGTTTAGAGAGCAGGGTCGAGGTTACGGGTTGGATCCTAAATTCTAAATTTTACATCCTAAACCGGTAAAAAATCCGAAGCCCCAAGCCCTAGACACCAAACCCCTAAACCCAAGTCCCTAAACCCTACACCTTAAACGCTGAACCCAAAATCCTTAAACCCTCAAGCCCTAAACCGAAAACCTGATTAGACCACACAAGATACTAAACTAGACCTTACTCTACACTACACTACACTACACTACACTACACTACACTATACTATACTATACTATACTATAATGTATTATGTCGGGTCGTTTTTAGGGGGCTTCCTTCCTGGCTTCCAGGTGAAGAACCTAGCCCAGATTGTCCGCGAACACATCGCGGAGACGGTGCGCAAACTTACCTGTCGGGTTGGGGCTTCGGGTTTAGGGCTCAGGGAGGGTTGAGAGTTTAGGGAGGGTTTAGGGCTGTCAAGGGTTTTGACCCTAAACCCTAAACCCCTAAACCCTAAACCGTAAACCCTAAACCCTAAATTCTAAACCCTTCGGGTGTTTAGAGTTTGACACGTGGCAGTTTGACGGCGTATCAGCCTGGAAGCCCAAACCCCAAAGCTTAAAAGTAGACACCCTTGAGCCCAGTACTCGAGAACCACAAGGCCCGAATAAAAGCTTTGGATCCCCTGGTGCTTATAAAAAGGAATGGGGGAATGGATATTGGGGACTATTATTGGGGTACCTCAAGGGATCCACTCCCCGATTCCCTACTAAGCCAGACAGTAGAACCCTAGACCTGAACGCCAAAGCCTAAGACCCCGAGCCGTGAACCTGGAACGCGAGCTCGTGACCTGGGCTTGAGGGTTTCGCATAGAGATCTTCTACGCAGTGTTCGGGGATACATGGGCTCTGCTTGGGAGTAGCTGGGGCGATCTATCAATGAGGGCTTGGTAGAAGCTGTGGAGGATTACAGTGAGGGTTGAGGGTCTTGGGCTTCGTTGCGTGGCTTTCAAACCTCAACTCCAAGACAACTGCCAGACTCCCAAATCAAAGTAATATAGGGTCCTTAATAGTTTCCTGTACTATGGTGGGGCTTCCTTAATATGAGTTTTTCTTCATGGGCCCCCAAACCCTATTCTAATTCTTACTCGGCCCCTATATTAGCTCCCGAGCCCCATGCCAGGCACGCGACCCCATCGATGCCATCCAGACGTCACGTGCACGACAGCGCGATCCTCAGGTTTGTGGCTTCAACCAAGGCCTTGCACTTTAAAATAAGGGCTTTAATATTTACCTAGACTATATCAGGGGTTTCTTGCTATAGTTGTAGTATAGTGGCCCCAAAATCCTTTTCTAAGTCTTAAGGCTCCTACATTAGGGCAGCAGCAATCTCATGTCAGATGGTGGCGGTGATGATGACGATGGAGAGAGGCCATGAAGGTTATGAAGAGTTTTACAATGCGATCGCCTAGGAAACTTTTCAAGGCGGATAGAAGGGTACCACCACTTGACATGAAGCTGCATAAGAAGAGCAATCTGAGGGCGTGCCTGAAGATATGATGACGTTTGCTGATGATGATGTTGACACTCACCAAGGCGCAAAGCGTTCTGCGGTGGCTTGCTGTTGCTTTAACTGTCGTTGCAGTTGTTCCTTTTCTACTGGACAAGTTGTTACATTGCTGTCAGTACATGACTCACATGAATGGTTGTCAAAATTATGGTACATTTTTGGGTCCCCGTTATAATACGGCACTATTATTTAGGGTACCCAAAATGAGACCCTGATTTTGACAACTACCCACATGAATGGTACGTGCGAGGACGGAGGGAACGGTTGCACCTTCCCAGGCCAAAGCCCCAAAACGGACAAGGGAATGCCACAGCTCTTAGGGTCTACGGGTTTAGAGGTTCAGGGTTTAGAGGTTTAGAGGTTCAGGGGTTCAGTGGTTTAGGGTCGTGTTCTTGGGGTTCAGATTCCTGTAAGGATCTTCGAAGGGTTCTGTAAGGGCTGCCAAAACGGTTCTATGATGAGGGGTCTTCGATTAGTAGACCCCAGAGTAGAAAAGATACATATTAAAAGGTACAGAAAGGGGGTATGTTGAAATTGATCAAGACGCCTGAAGTCCTGAGCTCAAAGCCTTAAACCCCGAAAAGGTAAACAGACAAAACCCCTAGGAGTCGAATTCTATATCCAAGGCTACAAGATTCAAAGCTCCAAGCCTCTATACCAGGACCATCTGTTCCGAGGCCCCTTTCGAGGGTCCTTGACTAACCATATTATACTTCTACCAAAATACCGCCAAGGCCATATTCCCAACTCCACCTGTTATCTAGGATGCCCAGTAGTACCCTTATTCCCTTTCTGTAGTCCTAGGTTCCCTATACAGTTACCCAATACCGAAAAGGGAGCCCTTTTTATTCCTAGGTTACTGAGCATCCGAGTTAACCCCAAAACGTCTAGACCCAGAAGTGCTGTGGCGGCTTCGGGTCCCCAGAGACTCCAATATCCCTTAATATTCCTTAAATCATATTAAGGATCCTATTATAATTTGAGGTGCCCTAGGCCCGAAGCCCTGAACATTTTTCCAGTTCTTAAGGGCCTGTTCCGAGGCGTGGCTTCGAAGAGATGAAAAAATTAAGCGTTTAGGGTTTAAGGCTTAAGGTCTAGGGATTTGGGGCTTGGGGTTTAAGGCTTAAGGGCTCAGGGTTGCAGGGTTTAGGGTTTAAGGCTTAAGGGTTTAGGGTTCAGGGTTTGGGGCTTAGCTTCTTAGGGTTTAGGGCCAGCCCAGGCCTGGCTTCGAAGAGATGGAGGAGGTTCATGGGTAGCTATAAGTAGGGTCATAACGTGGGGTAACTATACTTATAACCCATATTAGGGGACTTATAACCATCTGAGGCCTGGCTTCGAAGAGATGGAGGAGGACAGCTTGCAAACAGCTGCCCAAAGCAATTTTCAGCGAGCGGCGCGTGGTTGAGAACAGGCCAAAACGAGCAGCCACCGCCCTAGCAAGACTAAACCCTACACCCGAACCCGAAAAGCCCCAGCCCTAACCCCAAAAGCCAGCAAACCCGGAACTTTATGTATACATATGTATATATATATATATATATCTGTATATATATATATATATATTGAACTGAATGTTTAAACTTGGACCTTGAGCCAACGGAAGTGCAAGCCCTAAGATCCCGAACGCGGACTGCCGCGGTTTTGGCCCGGATCTCGCTTCGCGTTCGCTCCAACCTGCTTGTGCTACATCCACTGACGGCCTTTTGCTGCTGGCACTCGTCCCTGATCATGAGGATTGAATCATACTTTTGATGTGAAGATAAGGGTTGCTGGCTAGTTTAGTTGTTGCCTCAGACATACCACTCTCTCGACGACGACGCCGACAACGGCAACTCTCGCCGCCAAAAGTGCTGTCGCTACTGTTGCTACCACTACTTCCATGATGATCGCCACAGGTACTGCTGCTGATGATTTTGATATACGAAGAAAGTACCAGTTTTTGCAATGCTTACTCTGTGTCTGCTTATTGCTACTATATTGTTACGGCGACAACACAACAAATGATGCTGCTTCCCCTACTACTGCTCATCCCATGCCTCCTGCTACTACTACGACTACTACTACTCCTACTACTCCTACAATAACAACAACAACTACAACTACACCTACAACTACAACAACAACTACTACTACTACTACTACTACTACTACTACTACTACTCCTACTCCTACTCCTACTCCTACTACTGCTACTACTACTACTACTACTACTACTACTACTACTACTACTACTACTACTACTACTACTACTACCACGACGCGCCAGCGGGCTGTTCACGCGCGCCAATTAGGAAATAAATGCTGCAAACGTCGTCCCTGCCGAGTGATTCGTATCTTGCACTACAGCCGCGTGGCGTGCAAAAGTTCCAAATATTTTTCAATTTTCGCTGCACCCTCCACGTTTTCGCTCTGTCAGAACAACCAGGCTGCATCATGCTGCACATCGCAGTAGTGCGACGGATCGCATCCCAGCAGTCCTGCTCTCTCTGCACGATAAAGACGCAAGGCCTGGAAAATGGGCTTCAAGCCAGGTTTCCGCAACAGGCGACGGGCAGACAGAAGGGTCGTGTGCGCATTGCGCGCTGCCATTCTGCCCATAGCATTGACGTTATCATGGTTGCCACATGGATGCTCTGCGGGAATGGATGGAGTCTGATCTCTGGCCGTTATCATGGTTGCCACATGGATGCTCTGCGGGAATGGATGGAGTCTGATCTGGACATTATCATGGTTGCCACATGATCTGGACGTTATCATGGTTGCTGACATGGATCCTCAGCGGGAATGGATGGAGTCTGATCTGGACGTTATCATGGTTGCCACATGGATGCTCAGCGGGAATGGATGGAGGCTGATCTGGACGTTATCATGGTTGCCACATGGATGCTCTGCGGGAATGGATGGAGTCTGATCTGGACGTTATCATGGTTGCCACATGGATGCTCTCTGCCGGAATGGATGGAGCCTGAACTGGACGTTATCATGGTTGCCACATGGACGGATGCTCTGCGGGAATGGATGGAGTCTGAACTGGACGTTATCATGGTTGCCACATAGATGCTCTGCGGGAATGGATGGGGTCTGATCTGGACGTTGTCATGGTTGCCCACATGGATGCTCTGGGGAAATGGATGGAGTCTGAACTGGACGTTATCATGGTTGCCACATGGATGCTCTGGGGGAATGGATGGAGTCTGATCTGGACGTTATCATGGTTGCCACATGGATGCTTTGCGGGAATTGCTGACGTGGGCTGTAGCAAGTGCCGATCACACTGTAATATTACCGGTGTGTTCGGCATATGACCCTAAGCAAACACCGTAAATACCGAGGGAAACGGCAGGTGCAAAATTTGGGTTTCAGTAGGTGCCGAATACACCGTAATTACCGGTGTTTTTGCCATGCGACACGAAGGAAACGCTGTAAATACCAAGTCAAAGGAGGCGCGCAAGCTGCGCGTGTACAGCCTGCTGGAGGGTACCACGACGACAACGACTTCTACAACTCCTGGTCCGAGTCCTGGTCCTAGTCTTAGTCATAGTCCTAATCCTGCTCCTACTCCTAGTGCTGCTACTGCCACTGCTGCTATTGCTGATGCCACTGCTACTGCTGCTTCCTCTGCTGCTGCTGCTGCTGCTCTTGCTGATGCTAGTACTAGTGCTGGGGCCAGGACTACTTCAACTGCAACCGCTACTGCTGCTGCTGCTGCTGCCACTACTACTACTACTACCACCACCACTGCCAGCACTGCGACGACGGCTGCCACTATGACGACGACTACTGCGAATACTATGACTGCTACGACTACTATCACTAGTACGACTACTACAATGCCAGGGACTACGACTACTGCAGCTACCATGACTACTACGACTACTAGTGCTACGGTGCTGACTGTCGCTGGTGCCTCGTCTACCCTTGGCACTAGTGCTCTTTCTCATTGTGACCCTATTGACCATGGTAGTGCTTGCTCCTGGTTACGATTGCCAATATATATGTATGTGATAAGTGATAATGTCTGGCTGTGCTATTACGTCTGACTACGGCTGCTGTTCCAGGTTCGTGTTGTTGTTTCTCCTGTTGTCGTTGTTTTCATGACTGGTGACACAAGATGAGGCGTGTCCAAGACATAACTAGCATGATCACTCTGGTGTTGCAAGTGTCATGATGACCTGATGTATTACCTGTTGCGCGAGCACTGCTGTCATCACAACCTGTCTTGCTCGAGTTGTTGTCATCTCAAAGTCAGGGGTCCAGCGACCATGATAGTTTTCGCAATACAGCCAAAAATTGTGAACAGGCCCTGCCTTTTGCAGTGGGTAGTCTCAGTTTGCAAGTCCGCCATCAGGGCGAGGTGAAGTTGTAAAGCATGAGGCTTGTCCTTGGATGTTCGATTTCCCTGTCTACTTGCCATCCAGTCCTGACCGTGTTGGGCACGGCAATCTTTGGCGATGAAGACTTTGCCCCCTGAACCCTAAACCCGAATGGATCTCATGTTGCTTGCTGCCAGCACGTGCCTCCTGACGGGAATCAACTGTTTCATCCCACGTTGAATGGTCGAAGGGCCATGGCATCTCAAACTCCTTTCAGAGTTAAGGCTTTAGGGTTTGCAGAACGACTTGGCTGTGTCAGGGTGAGTGACACAGACTACCTAGGGTTTAAGCTCAAGCTAGTGCTTCAGAAGTCTCTGGTGCATTTTCCGTTGTCTCCACTGGCGCTGCGGAAACGCTGCTGGCGGAATGATCTTTTGACATTCTGTTTCAAGAGCTCAAGGTGTGTTGAGCAAATCCGCCATGATTTCGCCTTAGGCAAAACAGCGCGGAGCATCCAACTCCAGTTTCGGGTCATTAAACCCTGGCTAAAGCCCCGAAGCAACAAACCCTGATGTCTGAAACCAGACAAAAACCTGCTGAGCATGAAAAACATACTACGCCCTAAACCCTAAGCCCTCAACCCTAAACCCCAAATCATAATGGGCCTTGACCTCCAAGCCCTGGAGCCTAACTCGATCAAGCCCTGAAGTCTTGCATATCATTACCATTATGATTATTATTATGCCCATCATGACGACCATTATGATCAGTACTATCGTCGTTATGAGTATGATTAATCTTATTACTAAACATTCGGTGTTTATTTGTCTGGTCATTTGTTTGTTCATCTACTTGTTTTTTTTATCATGATTGTGATTGCTATGGTGATTACATTATTTCAATATTTTCCTTTTCATCATTTTATTCGTTATCATCACTATTACTGTCAGTCTCGCAGGTTCTTAGTCGGGAAAGGGGGAATGGATCCTAGAATAGGTCCCTTTACGTTGTGCCTACAACCCATTCTCGCATTCTCTACTAAGACCCGGACAGTTTCGACTGCAGACTCCCAAAGCCCTGCGTTCACCCTGAATCCCTGAAAGCTAAAATCTACACCACTAGATCAGTTTAGGGTTTAGGGGTTTGGGGTTTAGGGGTTGAAGGGTTTAGGCGTTTAGGCGTTTAGGGGTTTAGGGGTTTAGGGTTGAGGGTTCAGGGTCAGATCCTCCTCGGGAGTAGTGTCAGAGCTGAAAGCCGCCCCCAGGCCCCCCCCCCCCCCCCCCCCCAAAAAAAAAAAGGTGCCTTTTAAGGGGATCCTGAAGGGTTCCTTTAAGGCATCTATAGGGTTTAGGGTTTAGGATCGGGGCCGTAGTACTTCCCTATACTATTTTGGGCGCTTCTTATTATAAGTATTGTATAATATACACCAAACCGCCTTAATGCTTGCCTATACCACTGTAGGGGCTTCTTCTTCTTATTGTATAATATACCCCAAAACCCGATTCTACTTTTTAAGGCCCTTATATTAAGCCCGAAAAGAAAGAAGCGGAGACCCTGAGCCCCAAATCCGGGTGTGAGGCACTTTAGGAATCAGTTTTCGACTTCTGTTTCATGGTTACGATGAAACCAAAGAGGTTTTTGGACATGTAGTTTTTGGGGTCAAAGGGACTTCTACTTAGGCCTCAACATCTTTGAGCTGTGCCCTTCCTGAGCCACTCTGGCTTGGGCTTTGGGATTCATGCATCAACGACGTCAGGCTTCGGGCCTAGGAGTGCGTAAGGTTTAGGGTTCACGGAGTTGGGGGAGGGGGCTGAAGGATACCGTTCAGGGTTTAGGAACCTTCGCGCCGAGGGTTGGCCGGTGAGGGTTTGCATCAGGACTCAAGGTGTCGGATATGGGCTTACATATGCTCGAGGAGCTAGCGCGCCGGGTTCAGGGTTCTTTACGCACCAACTCTGAACCCTAAAGCACTTTATCGATTTAGCTGGAGCCACTCCATGGAACTCTTCACTGCTCCCTTCACAGCACGCTGCCATGCTTGTTGTGGGTGGCGGGCTCGTCGAGAGACGGGCAGGTGGGGGTTGTTCAATGGGGATCTCTCTCAAGAGCCGTGGTTCCAGCAAATTAGGAGTTTTGGGTTCAGGGCGCATCTATGCAATATAGGTATTATTAACTTTGAATCGGGTTGGGGGGTATTTCTAGGCCCCTATAGTAGAGCCTCTTTGAAGGAGTCCCAGCATCGACCAAACCTCAGGTGCGCCAACCCAAGCCAGCCCATCAGCGCGTGTGTGCGGTGCACGGGCAACTGCTTCGGAGCACCAGCCGGGACGGACAGTGCAAGCTGCGCAGGGGTCTCTTGAGTGCATGAGTAATAATGGAGGTCAGAATAAATGGGTTTTGCTAGCTCCCAAGACGTAAAAACTCTAAACTTCAATCTAAACCTGCCTTTGCTGAAACTTTCATGCCCTGAAGCCAAAGGCGTCAACAACCCAAAACCCCAAAAGTTGCCCAACACCCTGAAGGCCCAAACCCTCAACTCGCGAGTACGGTGCCTCAGCCCTAAACCCTATGAGCTCCAAATCCTAAACCCTAAAGCCCCCTCAACACCGAAAGAAACGTGCTTCAAAGAAAAAGCCCTGAACCCGCTAAGTCCACAGCTTCACAGCCCGCTTACACCCTAAACCCAAATGGGTGGTTGTCAAAATTATGGTTCCTTTTGGGGTACCCTAAAAATAATCGGTGCCGTATTATAATAGGGACCCAAAAAACGACCCTAATATTCACAACCACCCACCTAAGGGTACCTTAAAGGGCTCAGAGACTCAGGACCCAAAAAAAGACCATAATTTTGACAACCACCCCTAAACCCTAAACCCGAAACCCTAAACCCTAAACCCTAAACTCAACTTCACAGCGCGCTTACACCCTAAACCCAAATGAGGTGCGTCCTTGTCGGCTTCGCTGTGGGCGTTCCTCAGAGAAGGAGGTTCCAAAGAGTCCTCCGGAGGCGGGCGTGCGTCGAGCCTTCCGAGGTGGGGATCAAAGGGGAAAAGGAGGAACCCTTAAAGGGGACCCTTAGCCTATAATGGGCTATATAATGGGTATATTATAGCTATATTAAGGGTATATTACCTAGGGGTCGTTATTAAGGGTCCCTCCTTTTCCCCTTTGAGGGGAGCTTCTTTTCATATTAGGGTCATTACTTGGAGGGTCGGGGGACTTAGTAACTGGTTATTTTAGGGACTTATAAGTACCATAACCCCCAAGTAGGGTCCCTTTTTAGGGTACTTATAAGTCTACTTACTACCTACTTACTAAATCCCCCGACCCTCCAAGTAGTAGTACTCTCACCATGAATGTGATGATAAGGATAGTAATAGTAATAAGAATCTGCAGCAGAACAAACATAATATTACATAGCTATAATTGTTGATTGTTGTTTGGTGTAGTTTGTACTTTTGTTTTCGGGTTTGGGGATTTAGTATAGAGGTTTCTTATGAGAGGCTTCATCGGATCTCGACACTGCTTCAGCGTCCTTCCCGGCCTTGTTTCGGGGGTCTTGTAGGAGGTATGGTGTGGTAAGAACCCTTTGACCTAGACCTAAACCCGAAACCTTACACCCTAAACCCCCAGCCCTAAACCATTTCTACATCTGCTTGTTCTACAGGGAAGATCATAGTTAGAGCAGCCCGAGGCCACAGTGGTGTTGCAGGAGGCAGAAGACGAGGTGGTGGAGGATCGGCCTCAGCAAAAGCCCTGGTTGCAAAGGCATCTGCCTCATGGAAGAGAGTCATCAGAAGATCTGCTGCTCCACTTCATGCAGGCACTTGAAAATTTAATATAGGGGCCTTAATGCCTTAATAGTTACCTATGCTTTTTTACGGGTTCCTTATTTATAGTGGGCCCCCAAACCCTACTCTGTTTATTAAGGCCCCTATATTAGTGATCCTCGTATAGTATCGCTAGTCATTGTGCTTGTGGTAAGCACTTCTAGCAGCCCCGAACAAAATTGCCAAAGTAACCCGGAACCCCTGTTGCAGGCACTGGAAGAGAGAGGTGTGCAGCTCTATGAGGCCCAAGAGGAGGCCATCGTGGAGATATTCTCCGGTGCTCATGTCGTGCTGGACACGCCGACGGGGAGTGGAAAGTCCTTGGTTGCGGTTGCGGCATTGTTCAAGGCACTTGCAGAAGGTGGCAAAGCCTACTACACCTCACCGACCAAGGCGCTGACAAGCGAGAAGTTTTTCGATCTCTGCCGACACTTCGGACCTGCTTCCGTCGGCATGGCTACGGGTGACATCTCCCTGAACCAGCGAGCGCCGTTGATCTGCTGCACTGCTGAGGTTCTGGCCAGCATTTCCTTGCATGAGGGGCAGGCTTCCAGCAAAACCCAACCCTAAGTCCCTAAACGTCCTAAACCCTGACCTTAAACCCTTTCTGGATAGAACTCTGACTGCATGCATAACGCCCAACCCCTAAACCCTAAACCCCAAGCCTTCAACCCTAAACCCTAAACTCCAAACCCCACACCCTAAACCCTAAAGTCCAGACCCTAAACCCTAAACCTTAATTCTTCACCCTAAGAGGCTTCCGGTATCACCACCGTCGTTATGGACGAGTTCCACTACTTCGCCGATCCCGACCGTGGTTCGGCCTGGGAGGTACCCCTGTGGCGCATGACCGGGCCCGGCTCCTCCACCACGATTCTAGACCCTCCAGTAGTACGCGTTTTTTAGGTTGTGTTCTTTGGGGAGTCCTCGTTTAAGCTGCACTGGTAGACACAAGGCACCCTCATCCTTGAGGAACCCAAACCCGAAAACGAAACCCCAAATCCTATAAGTCCTTAACGCCAAACACTATAAACCCTAACCCTAGAAGCCCTAAACCCTAAACCTCCCTAGATCTACTCCTATTATAAGCCGCAGAGGTTTTTGCTGATGTCTGGAACTTTGGGCGCGAACGACAGCCTCTGGGTTCTTGTTAAGGAATTTAATTCCAGTTGCCATTATAGGGATCTATAGTAATTAATTTGGTTTCCTTATTATTGTGGTATTTTAAATCAAATGCCTTAACAAGGCCTCTACCGCACACTGCAGAGACGATCTGGGAGGCCGGTGCGCGTCGTGTCCTCCCAGGACCTTGGTGGTTAAGGGCTTAGGGTTTAGGGTTGTGGACTTGGGTTAAGGGCTTAGGGTTTAGGGTTGAGGACTTAGGGTTAAGGGCTTAGGGTTTAGGGTTGAGGACTTAGGGTTAAGGGCTTAGGGTTTAGGGTTGAGGACTTAGGGTTAAGGGCTTAGGGTTTAGGGTTGAGGACTTTGGGTTAAGGGCTTAGGGTTTAGGGTTGAGGACTTAGGGTTAAGGGCTTAGGGTTTAGGGTTGAGGACTTAGGGTTAAGGGCTTAGGGTTTAGGGTTGAGGACTTTGGGTTAAGGGCTTAGGGTTTAGGGTTGAGGACTTTGGGTTAAGGGCTTAGGGTTTTGGGTTGAGGACTGAGGGTTAAGGGCTTAGGGTTTATAGGGGTTAGGTTTCAGGGTTTGGGATTTTGGGGTTTGGTTTTAGGTTTCGGGATTCAGGGTTTGCGGGTTTCGGGTTTCGGCTTAAGGGTTTAGGGTTTACTAGAAGTATTGGTTATTCCCAGGGTTGCTATAAGGGTTACTATAAGCTTATACTATAAGGTTTGTTACGCGGGTGACTAACTACAAGAGTTTACTGCAAGGGTCACTATAAACAGGAGTACAATTGGGGGAATTTTTCTATTTGCGGGTGTTTTCTTAGGGTCTTTGGACCCTAAACCCTAAACCCCTAAACCCTCAACCCTAAACCCTAATCCTGGAATCCCTAACCCTACAGCCCATGTATGCCGTGGTTTGGGGCTTGAGGACCGACCCGTCCCGCTTCACTTCGCCTACAGCGAGGGCTCCGTAGCGGCCTCCGTGGCAGAGCTGATCCGCTCAAAGCGGCTTCTCGGTCGACGTGGCATTCTGCGACTAAACCTTCCCAGAGAGCCCAAAACCGCGTAATTAAGGAATATACCTTAAATTATAAGGGGATTAATATTATGATTTAAGCTATATTCCTTAAATTAACGGGTATGGGGTCTCTGGGTAAAGTTTAGGGTTCAGGGTTTAGGGAGCCCAGAATCTCCAAACTCGCTAAGCCTTACATCCCTGCACCCTAAGCCCTAACCCGTTGTAGACAACGGCTTATTCTGGAACCTTTGTAGAGAGCTTTTGAGGAATACTGTAAGAACTTTCTTAAGCCCCACGTTCTAAAGCCTAGACGCCGCAGGTTTGGAATTCTTAACCCAGACCTGCTCTAGAACTCTTCAGCAGTATCATCATCGGGGTAACCCTTGTTGCACTCCAAAAGGGCCCGTATCATAGTAACCCCAAAATCTACCAAACCTGGAGTTTCTTTAAACATTTACATAAATCCCTGATCCTTGAACCCCGAGGCCCCCAAACCCTAAACCTTAAACCTTTGCAAATAGGGGATCCTCTTCGAACGCACGTATCGTTTCCGGCGCAACCTTAAACTCCGCACCCTCCAGCCCTGAGCCATGCAGGCCTTGTGGTAGCCCTTACGGAAACCAACCCGTAAACCCCCAACCCTAGATCCTAAACCCTGATCCCTTAGAGCCCAAGGTTTCCAGTGTACATCGTGCACTTCTCGCAGAGAGAAGCTCTCCGCACGGCCCAAGAGTTGGCGGATGCGAAAGCCAGGGCCTAAGTACAGGGCTTAGGATTCTAAGTCAATGTTGTCAGAAATATTTTAGCCTGTCGTACATAGCACCTTCGTTTTTACGATTGATAGGAAGCAGTAGCCCGTACTGGCAGGCCTGGCATTAAGAGTACTACGGATTTGGGTGTTGGATCTGGGGTTGTTTTGTTCCGTAGGGCTGCGGGCTTTGGGTTGGTTGAGAGATGCAAACCATTAGAATGGTGAGGCTAGTAAGAGCAGTAAGAGGAGGGACAGTGCAAATACAGCAACGAGTTCGGAAAGGAATGGCAGAAAGCGGGTATCAGAGCAGAGTAGATTGTGACGAGTGGGATTGCGATCACAGTGATCATTGCCATTCCGTATCTCGAGTCTGGCAAGGTGCAGAGGGCCCGTGTCTCGGGCCGACAACGGTGACACTGCAAATGCCCCACCAAATCTGAAACTCTGCAGCCTTAAACCAATCCCGACAGCCCCAAACCTTGAACCCCTGAAGCCTTTGGCTTCTTTGCCCCTGAGCCTTCCGGCCCCTCAAAACCCGAAGCCCGAGACCCGAAACTCTGAAACACCAAGCCCCAAACCCTACATAAATCTTAAAAAAAAAACCGGAAACCCGAAATTGAAACACGCCCCAAACCCCAAACCCTAAACCTTAAACCTTGAAACCTGAGTAGAGACTCTCTGCAGATGGAAAAAGGTGCTTTAAGAAACGACCTTACAACCGAAACCCCACACCCCAAACCCTGAATCTTCTGAAATAAGGGGGCAGACGGTGGGCGCCTTCTGTCCACAGCCTTGGCGGAGGAGGGCAAGAGGGAGGCGGGCCGTTGAGTTGATTTAGGGATTTCAAAAAAGGCAAATTAATTTTGACAACCACCGCTAAGCCTCTATCTTCCCTGTAACCCTAAACCCAGAACCCGAAGTATTATAAGACCTTTCTAATAAAGGGGCCTAAATACCAGTAACTACCAATACAATTCTTGGTGGTTCCTAATTATAAGTACAGTATAAGAGACACCAAAGGCCTATGCTATTAGGGTTTAGGGTGAGTCCTGCAGTAGGTGTTTAGGTTTAGGGTCTAGGGATTGGGGTTTAGGGTTTTTAGGCTGTAGGGTTTAGGGGTTAACTCTCGGTTACTAGATCAGCCCCTTCTCTTTCAGGGCATGTATATATTCGTTCATATTCGTTCGGATCCCTGTTTTAAGCCCCTTTATCAGGGGTCTCCATCCGATGATGACCGCTTCGAGCGGCTTGGAGTTCAGGTAAGAGGGGGGAAAAGGGTTCTGGGGGCAAGCGGTTTAGGGGCTCCGGCTTGAGGAGGCTCAAGGTTCCGGGGAGAGTTTAGGGTTTAGGGTTCAGGGTTTAGGGTTTAGGGTTCAGGGTTCAGGGTTTAGGGTTTAGGGGTGGGCATGGGATCAAGAGGGGCCTAGAGATCTTCTAAACCCCATTATAGTACCCTTATAGATCCCTTATAGATACCTTATAGATCCCTTATGGGTTGTTGGTTTGGCGGTTTTCGGGGCTTCGTGTTGGTCAAGGGAGTTAGCGGTTCGGGTCGTTGGGATCTTGTACACCCCAGACCCCCAGAGATCCCAATACCCCTTAAAAAAAGGAATATACCCTAAATTATAGAGGCCCTAATATGATGGTTTGAGGTATATTCCTTAATTAAGGGGTATTGGGATCTCTGGGCCCCTGCCACCATACGAACCCTGACAACACCAATTGAAGCTATGACCCACGCGCACCCCTTTAAAACCATAAGAAGGTCTACAGAAACCACAAAAGACCCGAAGGCCTCAAACCTTGAATCTCAAGCCCTGAACCCTACCCAAACCCTGAACCCCAAACTCTAAACCTAGACCCCAAGCTCTAAACCCAACCCCAAACTCTACATCCTTCCCCACCCTAAATTCCTACCCAACCCCCTGGGGCCGTTCGCACCCATAACTGGGTGCAGACGCTGAAGATGCCTGACAGCCCTTACACCCGCACTGGGCCAAACACCGGATGGAGCCCATGGAGAGTGGTCGAATACCGCCCGTTCTGGGCTGGTGAGGGCTCCGTCTCGCCAGCCACTGGTGGGCCTAAAATCCCGTAGAATACTTCGATTTTCCCATTTATGGGAGCACCCTGTCCGGCTTGCCCTGCGCTGCCCTTCCTTCCCGAACGCTTTCATACATGGGTGGGAACTGAGGGCGTAAGCCCTAATCCCTAACAGGAGATGGTTGGGGTGGTTGCCTGTGGTATCAATACAGCGGGTGGGTAAGAAGAACTTCCGGTTTCACCGAGTTCTACCACAGCAGACAACGGAGGTCGCCTGACGCCCAATATGCCGCCACAAACAAACCCTGGTGTGAGGTGGCGCCATCTTAGCATGGTCTATCGGCCACTGCGCAAAAAGACTCCCTAAACCCTAAACTCTGTAACCTAAACCCTAAACCCTACACCCCTAAACCCCTAAATTCTGAACCCCAGAACCCTGAACCCCTGAACCCTGAACCCTATAAACCCTAAAACGCAGGCCTTGCGCCAAGCCGTGGAGGCCGCGAGCTTCGCTTCGCCCTTCGGGGCAGAGCTCCGAGCGCTGCTCCTGCGGCGACCTCAGATGCACCGAGCCCAGAGACTCCAATATCCCTTAATTAAGGACTATACCTAGGGTTAGGGTTCCTTTAAGGGATCTAGAAGGGATCTATAGGGTTTAGGGGATTCTAATATCCCTTAATTAGGGAATATTCCTTAATTTACAGTAGGATCCCTAACGTGATTTAAGGAATAAGCCGTAATTAAGGGATAATGGAGTCTCTGGGAAAGGGGGGGGGGTTCAAGGGGTTAGCGTTAATGTGGTTGAGGGTAGGGTTTGGTGTGCAGGGTTGAGGGTTGAGGGTTTAGGCTGAAGGGTTTAGGGTTTGGGGACAGTGGGGTAGGCTTCGGTGTTCGGTGTTTAGGGTTTGAGGATTGTTGTCGAGGGCAGGTTTAGGTTGACGGTTTGGTTTGGGGCTCGGTGATGGCTTGATAGCGAGGCTTTATCAGGGGTTGTGTGAGGGTTGTCTAGGACCTAGGGTTTGTTGGATGTTGCAAGGGCTTTGGAGCTTGTAAATATGGGTTTGTAGAGTTGTAGTTTCTCATGGCGTGAGTAAGTAATAAGGCTAAGTAAGGTTTTTCTTTCCAGTAGTGTTCCGCCCCAACATGTCAAGAGTATGAGGCTTGTCACTAATCCCCGTAGAAAATCTGCCCTAAACCCCGAAACCTCAAAACCACGAAAACCCCTAAATCCCCAAACCCAGAAATCGCTAAACCCCTAAAACCTAAAATCCCTAAGCCCTAAACCCTAATATCCCTCTCTTGGATGCGGTCTTCGACGAGAGCAATGGAGCACTGGTCGATGAGGGCTATGGGGTTGGAGGCGGAGATGCACTGCGGGGTTTGCACGG